CACATTTACACACTGCCCACCCACACACTGAACCTTTCACACACATTGCACCACTGCTCCTATACCCTACTACAGCCCCATATCCCAGCAGACTCCAGGTAAGTTGTCAAACTGTTCTTAAACGGTTTGACTACTTACTCTGGGAGGGGTGCCGACGCTCCTGGCACCATAACCACTACACAGAGGAGTAGTGGTTATTGTGCATGGAATATTTCTTTAAATAATCTACAAGTGCCCCTCTCAGGCTCAGGCTCAGGCTCAGGCTCTGGATCCGCCATTAGTATATGACATGTATATTAATGTGTGTATTAGTTTTTTTTATATAATGTACATTTATAAATGCATAATACACAGAGAAATTTCATTAATATATACCATATGTAATGAGCAGATATTGGCCCAGTCTTGTTGCTAGGTGCATACTCCAGCACAATAACATATTTAAAGTGAAGAGCACACCCACAGGACTTCAAAATAAAAAAATTTCAGTTGTGCCCTACATACATTCATCATTTCAGTCCCATTAACAAGCTTTCCTTAATATGTCAAGGTAGTTGGACTGAAACATTGATTACATGCAAAGGCACGTCTGCTTAAAATAAATCTGCACTTTTGTTTATTTTGAAGCCTATGAGTGCGCTTTTTACGCTGAAGTACTTTTTAATTTTAAGTTATCTGTTCTAACTCTGTATCTGCACACTATGCTGGCGCGATGCATTATGGGGCTGGTAAATATTTTTTTTCCAGGGCTGCTTTTAATTCCCAGTACGGCCCTGGAGGGAAGTGGGGATAGTGAGAATGGTACTTGTACATCTGATGTTTTTGTAAATTCACTTTCACCAGATGAGTTAGCTGACGCCCAGGTACTCCATGATTGTGCAGCACTAATGGCACAAGAAACAGCAGGTTTTTTGCATGTAATTGATTCTCCATTATCTAATGCAGATTTTGAGTTTTTTGTAGATGGTTCCAGATATGCTGATGAGAAGGGTAATTTCCACACTGGATATGCTGTAATCTCTGCACATGAGGTAATAAAAGCTGAACCACTCGCTCCTCACTGCTCTGCACAGGAGGCAGAGCTGAAGGGACTCACTGAAGCGTAAAATAGCTTCTGGTAAGACTGCTAATATTTATACAGACTCTCGCTATGCTTTTGGTATAGCCCATGATTATGGCCCTATATGGCGGGCTCGTGATTTTCTCACCTCAGCAGGAACTCCAATCAAGAACTCTAAAGCCGCGAGTGCACTTATGAACGCTATCCTGCTACCCACTCAAGTAGGCATCATCAAGGTGGCAGCTCACGTGAAGATCACAGATGAAATCTCAAGATGAAACCACAAATCAGACGAAGCTGCCAAGCAAGCAGCAATTCAAGTTCATCCCTCTACAGGTAATACCTTCCTACAAGTTGTTCTTACAGATGATGCCGTTGTCTACAATATACTGTTGAGTTTACAAAGACAGGCAAGCAAGGGGAAACAAGATGCAGAACCTGATGATAAAAGAATGTGGAGGAAAGGTAAAAGACTGTGTTTGCAACGAGTGTTGTACCCCATGATGGCTCAGATTGCCCATGGACCTACACATCTATCCAAGATGCACATGAACAGCATAGTAAACACCCATTGGGTAGCACCCGGATTTACTGTTGTAGCAGCTAAACACACCCAAGCTTGCATGATTTGTGCTAGAAACAATCCAGGACAGGCTGTCAAAACACCAAGTAAGCACACACGAAGGCCACTTTACCCATTTCAAAGACTGCAGATAGACTATATTCAACTGCCTAAGGTAGGAGTGAATGAATATGTGTTGGTGTGCATTGATCTCTTTTCAGGTTGGCCTGAGGCCTACCCAGTGTCGAAAGCCACAACGAAGGTCACAGCAAGTAAGCTTCTGAAGGAATTGACTTTCAGTGTCCCCCTGGATCCTGACAGTCAGTTTTTTGGGATTGGACATTTGGGCTAGGAACATGGTTGACTTTACTAATTAAGAAAATGTTGTACTTTTTGCTATTAGCTGTATTTGTCATTATGGCCATTTTTCTAACCTTTAGATTTTTTTCATGTCTACTAACCTCTCTATGTAACAGATATGGAGTACGTAGATATGGAGTACCTGAAGTGATTGAAAGTGACAGAGGTAGCCATTTCACTGGGAAAATAATGCAAGAAATTATGAAAGCCTTAGGGATCAGTCAGGCCTTCCACACCCCCTATCACCCCCAGAGTAGTGGGAAAGTAGGGCAAATGGCACGTTAAAGAACAAGATTGCAAAAGCAATGCAAGACACAGGGAAGCCCTGGACTGAATCCCCTAGCACTCTTTTCTATGAGATTCACCCCCAATCCCAGACGTGGCCTATCCCCTTTTGAGATCCTGTTTGGATGTGCCCCAAAGACAGGCCTCTATTTTTCCCAAACCCTCCAGATGCAGCATTGTAGTATGACTGCCTATGTTCAGGCCCTACACCAAAGATTAGGCAGGGTGCATAAACAAGTCTTTAATTCTATTCCACATCTAGACTCTGATTCTGCAACTCACAAACTGCAGCCTGGTGATTGGGTGGTGATAGAGAGGCATGTGAGGAAAGGACTTGAACCACGCTTTGACGGTCCATTCCAAGTGCTCTTGACTACAGCTACTTCAGTGAAACTAGAAGGAAAAGCCACGTGGATACACGCCGGTCACTGTAAACAAGTCACTCCAACTGATCCACCGACATGAAGCTGTTCTTATCCTTTACCATTGTATGCTGTGTTCGGATATGCTACTCTGACTTGAGACCAGAAGATAATAATGCATGGCAGGAAAATATATGGTTGCAGATAGCAAAGGCTTTTAATTTAACCTTCTTTTGCCTCAACCCTCTCCTCAGTACTGAAAACGCCATAGAATCTTGTCTTATAGCTGTCCCTACCCCCATCTCACTGTTGAGAAAGTACCTACATACTCATAGACCCCATAAATCTCTACAACTATATTCTTATGCTTTCAACCCACTGGTAGGCAAGCCTCCCCTAGCCCTGAAGACAATTAATGTGACAGGCGCTGAACTATGTTGGTCTTTTTCATGTTATTGTTCAAGAGACCCTAATACTGAATCCCTGTTTTGCCCCACATGGTGGAAAAATACCACGAATTGTAGAGCCCTCAGCACCACTATGAATTGTACCAAAACTCACCAAGTTATGAGTTACCACTACAATGTCTATCTTCCTAAAGAATGGACTTTCTCCTGTGGAAATATTACTTATGCTTATGTCCCAGGTAACATTACAGGAGGTCCCTGTGCAATCTCTCGCCTAACCATGACCATGTTTTCCAAATCTGACCTGATCCCTAAAACCACCCAGCTACACAAACTGCTGAGAGACAGGAGAGATGTTAAAAACACCCTTACTGTAGATTGTAACCCTTAAATCACTCTCTTATCTAAAGCTGAATACTCTGCCCTAGCGTAGACCTTGGTAGGAGTCCCAGGCTTAGCACTGTATAATACCCGAGTAGTTAATGCTGTAGCCTGTTCCCTTGCAAAAGGTTTAAATGCCACTTCACAGGCCCTAGAAGAGTTTCTTATGGACAACCAGGCAAATAAGAAGGCAATCCTTGAGAATAGAGCAGCCATTGACTACTTACTAATGAAACATGACGTAGGCTATGAAGCTATTGAAGGTATGTGCTGTTTTAACCTATCTGACCATGGCACTATGATCCATAAACATATAAAAGATTTATATGACTTAGTACAGGATATCAAACAGGATACTGGCTTCTTTGGGGATTGGGATTGGACATTTGGGCTAGGAACATGGTTGACTTTACTAATTAAGAAAATGTTGTACTTTTTGCTATTAGCTGTATTTGTCATTATGGCCATTTTTCTAACCTTTAGATTTTTTTCATGTCTACTAACCTCTCTATGTAACAACAAACCTACTGTTGGTCGTACCTTAACTTACATTCCAGCTCCAACTTTGGAAGGGTTTTATGATGTTACCTCGCCTAACAAATGAAGGAACTCTCCTCCGCTTATTCTGGTGGTCTCTCAGTCCAAGGGAACCGTGGTGAAGCAATAAATGAAAGTCCCACAGGCTTTGGCTAGCAGGCCTGGAAATACCTTGGACATTTGGGTAACCCTTGGATCAAAAGAGGGGATTGTGATAGAATTTATCTTGATTCCAAGGCTCAAACTTATGGGTGTCATATAATGATATCCTATATTAAAATTGGCTAACTTGGACTCAGGAAATGCTTGATGCATAACACAACACTTAAGACCATATATGTCTAGTTCCGGGAGCAGAGAGGCCCCACCTGAGATGTCTTTTCTCTAATCTTTTTGTTCTTTCTTACCTTGGAACTTATTTGTTATGTGTACATGACGTTCATTCCTATGTCTTATCTGTACTCCCTTCCTATTACTGTTCTATGAGTATTTGCACCTAAGCACTTACTTTTTAATGTATAAAAACCCAGCTGATGAATAAAACGGCAGAGGCATTTTTTGAATACCAACAGATGTCTGGTGTCTAATTCTCGCTTCTCCAAGTGCACTTGTAACAACAATTTGGGCTTCCTCTGAATATAACAAAGATCAACATTCTGATCCACAACAGTATCAAGAATCCCAAGTATCTATCAATATTGGAGGGTCCCTTTTTTCATCCTAGGCCACAACTAGTGGTCCCAGATTGAAAGATGAGCAAGTAAAATAATCCCTTTAAATCTTTTGAAATACCACATCTGAGAGATCAAGGGACGGCTGTACCTATAGAGTCCCTTTTAACTGTGTATATATTATGGCCATGAATATTGTTAAGACACTCCCAGCTTAAATGAGTGAAATCGCCGTTTAGTTGAGCTTTCCCCCTTAGAGACACAGGCTCTGTTGTTGTAGACCGCCAAACTCCCGAACAGAGTATAAGGGAATACTTCAAACTCCCGAACAAAGAATCAGCCGAACTCCTTCTCTCCTAGAATAGGCGAAATAATGCTCACATTACTACCGAATAGCGCTCAGACCCAATGCACGCAGTTCAATCGCCATGGAGTCAAAGTCTTTCACATTGTTCTTTCGGTGTACGATTGACTCCATGGGACGACTATCTGGGATAAATCCATTCGTATAATAAAAATCCCGAATGGACCGGCGTTCGCATGCCAGTGGATAAGAAGGGCGGTCGGCAGTTTCAGCGGTGTTCGGTAGAAAAAGTGTCCATTTCTAGTTCCATAGTTTGAGCGCTGAACACCGCTGTTCATTAGCGTGTTTAAAATGGCCGGCGCCTCGTGGTCGACATGCGAACGACGACCACCCTGCATACGGTTCTAATCAAGAGGTGTCTGTGGTTAACCACAACATTCTAATTGAGGCCAATAGGTTAACCAGCAGCACACTTCTTCTCTGGGTGGCCGTCCGTTCACTAGTTTTATTCGGTATAATCTGAAATAGACAAACAGGGACGTACGGGCAGGTAATTCCACGAAAGTATACTAAATTAGACGAACCAGCAGATAGAACTTAGACAGATGGATCTGTCACAAATATTAACATCCTTACACCAAGTAAAATACACTAAATAGACGAGTGGCTGCGATTGCGAGGTGTTCACTGTAACTGATTATGTGATATCATTTACAGCAGTAAGTTTTGTTTTAATTATATTCAAAATACCAAAGCAATTTACATAACTGACACATATTTCTGTGAATACTTCTCTCCTTTAAATCTTTAATAGGGCACATGTTTGAGTAAATTACTGGCAAGTGATTCATAATTGCATATTGCTTTGTAACATCAAATATGAACAAAGAAAGACGTTGTGTAAAGATATTCGGATGTGATAATGTTTCATTTTCTGATCCAAAAAATTGCAAGATGTGTTGAATCAGTTTGTTTTTTCTCTCTGAAATGTAGACTTAGATAAGAGATGCTTTACTGATGTTCTGGAAAAAATATATAAACAAAACAGATTAAAGAATGATTCACAACAACAGCATATGCACGTGGAACACTGAATTTAATAAGAACACAAAAGACTACCAGCCATCCTGTGGTTTTTTTTTCTCATTCTTAAATTACAACACATTCTGTGGCGACATATGTCATATCATAATATTATATAATTCTATTTTATATGTACAATTAGAATACATTGAGCTTAGAACATAATTAAAGGGAAACTATAGCTCCCTATAGTGCCCCACTCTCTTCTGTTACTTACCTGATTCCAGCGCTGATGTCCCTCAGTGTTGGTTCAGGCTCTGCCTCTGCTCCTTCTCTGCTGATCTAAGCTGGTGGGGGACCTAATGTGCATGCGCGGTGAGCATTGCACTCGTATTAGAACTTCCCTCATAGAAATGCGTTTGTATGGAGTTTTTGGTGACACTGGTAGACAGCCACTAGAGGTGGAGTTAACCCTTCAATGAAATTATCGCAGTTTAAAAAAAACTGCAATAATAACAATTGCAGGGTTAACGGGCCTGGGACACTGCACTCAGACCACTTAAATGAGCAGACGTGGTCTGGGTGCCTATAGTGTTCCTTTAATATATATATATATAATACTATAAAGGAAAAATATTCCTAATTTTTTTTCCTGGTCATAGGCCTAATTAGACAGAAGGTATAGGTAACCCCTCCTACCCCTCAAATCCTCAGTATTATTTCCAGCAATATCCCTGGGCGGGATCTTTGTGCTGCCATTGCCTATGACCAGGAAACTGCACTCTCAGGTAGGTAAGGTTTCACACGTTACGTGGGGCCGCACTGCAAACTTTCTGCAATCTCCGGTAAGTTGACACTGTCACACCACTGTCTGCAATCACAGGAGTAAGTGTCACAGTCATGCCACTCACTGTCTGCAATCAGGGGTTAGTCACTTTTATCACACTCATACCACTCACTATAATCACTGCAATCAATTCACTTTACTCAGAACCTAGATGTGGCACAGGCCGCTGGTCGCAATACTTGCTCCTCTCTACCTGCTTGCTCTGCTCCTCTCTGCATGCTCTGCTCTTGCTCCTCTCTGCTTGCTCTGCTCCTCTCTGTTTGCTCTGCTCTGCTTGCTCTACTCCTGCACACATATTGCCTAATACATACATTCATACACACATACTGCCCAATATACACTTTGCCTAATACATACCTGTGTGACAGGTTCACTGTAAACGATTCACAACAACAGCATATGCACGTGGAACACTGAATTTAATAAGAACACAAAAGACTACCAGCCATCCTGTGTTTTTTTTTCTCATTCTTAAATTACAACACATTCTGTGGCGACATATGTCATATCATAATATTATTTAATTCTATTTTATATGTACAATTAGAATACATTGAGCTTAGAACATAAATAAAGGGAAACTATAGCTCCCTATAGTGCCCCACTCAGGGGCGTATTAGCCGTGAGGCAAACAAGGCATTTGCCTTGGGCGGCATTTTTCAGGGGACGGCAAAAAACGCCGCCCCCAAATGCCCAGGGCAAATGCCTTGTTAGCCTTGCGGCTAACAGACAGGCTGGCGGCTGGCTTAGGAGTTTCTCTGAAGCGACTGTGCTCGCTGCTGCCGCAGAGTGAGGCTGGGCCGTAGATGACGTCATATTCTCCGCCCCAGCCTCCCCTGGGCGCGCGAGGGAGCTGAGCATTCAGCTCAGAGGAAGTGCTCCCTCGCCAGCCGCCCGAACAGCAGCCAGCGCCGCCCAGCCCGACCGGCAGCCACTGGACCACCCAAAGGTAAGGAGGCTGGGGGGGGGGGATTTAAAAAAAGTAAATGTGAGTGATTGTGTGTGTATTTTTTGTCTGACTGTGTGTTTGTGTCTGACTGTGTGTGTGTGTGTTTGTGTCTGACTGTGTGTGTGTGTGTTTGTGTCTGACTGTGTGTGTGTTTGTGTCTGACTGTGTGTGTGTTTTGTGTTTGTGTGTGTCTGTGTTTGTGTCTGACTGTGTGTGTGTTTGTGTCTGACTGTGTGTGTGTTTGTGTCTGACTGTGTGTGTGTGTGTGTGTTGTGTCTGACTGTGTGTGTTTGTGTGTTTGTGTCTGACTGTGTGTGTGTTTGTGTCTGACTGTGTGTGTGTGTGTTTATGTCTGACTGTGTTTGTGTTTGACTGTGTTTGTGTCTGTGGATGTGTCTGACTGTGTGTGTGTATGTGTCTGACTGTGTGTGTGTGTGTTTGTGTCTGACTGTGTGTGTGTGTGTTTGTGTGTGTCTGACTGTGTGTGTGTGTATTTAGAAAGTGGGGGGAAGGGTTGGGTGGGGGCCTAGGGCAGCACAAAACCAGGATACACCACTGGCCCCACTCCCTTCTGTTACTTACCTGATTCCAGCACTGATGTCCCTCAGTGTTGGTTCAGGTTTGCCTCTGCTCCTTCTCTGCTGATATAAGCTGGTGGGGGGACCTAATGTGCATGCGTGGCGAGCGTTGCACTCATATTAGAACTTCCCTCATAGAAATGCGTTTGTATGGAGTTTTTGGTGACACTGGTAGACAGCCACTAGAGGTGGAGTTAACCCTTCAATGAAATTATCGCAGTTTAAAAAAAAACTGCAATAATAACAATTGCAGGGTTAACGGCCTGGGACACTGCACTCAGA